TTAAAAAATGTATTGGAGTATAGTTGCTTTCCAACATTGTATTAGTTTCTACTGTAGAGCAAAGTGGATCAGCTATATGTGTACACACATCCCCTTTTTGGATTTCCTTCCCATTTAAGTCGCCACAGAGCACTGGGTGGAGTTCCCTGCACTGTGCGGCAGGTCCTCCTTACTAATCTCTTTTATACAGAGTACCAAGAGTGTGTATATGGCAACCCCAATCTCTCAATTCATCCCACTTCCCTTTTCCCCTTGGTATCCATACATTTGTTCTCTACCTCCATATCTCCATTTCTGCTTTGTAAATAAGACCATCTATACCAGTTTGTTCAGATTCCACATGTGTGTGTCTATATACAATATTTGCTTTTCTCTTTCTGACTTACTTCACTCTGTTTGACAGTCTCTAGGTCCCTCCACATCTCCACAAATGACCCAATTTCATTCCTTTTTATGGCTGAGTAATATTCCATTGTACATATGTACCACATCTTCTTTACCCATTCCTCTGCTGATGAACATTTAGGTTTTTTTCCATGTCCTGGCTACTGTAAATAGCGCTGCAATAAAAATTGAGGTGCATGTGTCTTTTTGAATTATGGTTTTCTCTGGGTTTATGCTCAGTATCATTATACTTTAAAGTTTTTTAAGAATAAGTATAGAAAAATTTACATACACTATCACAAGTGGGGGAAAAAGATGTACGTAGCAGAAAAATTGAAAGAAACACACATCAGAATGTTAAGAGTGGCCATTTTTGATGGATTCACTCATGGGTGACTTTTTTCTTCTATTTTTGCAAAATTTCTATAATGAGTTGATACTTTATACAAACAAGTTGAATAACCATAGCCTTACTTTTGTGTTATATGTGCTTTTCTACCTTATAGTTTGTTCTGTTCTTAGACACAAGGCTTTCTGGTAAAAGAAAATGTTCTTGATTATATTAGATTCTTTGTCCTCTATCAATCTTAAAAAGGAAATTAGAATCATAGGTAATTTGACTTCCTACCATTATCAGAGTGACTCATTTAATCTAATACCTTGTGCTAATAAACAGTTGTGGATTTACCTTTCTCATATTTCCTGTCTGAGGACAAGAGAACTGTTGTATTCTCACATTCATTTGTAAAGCACTTTTTATTGACTCTGGTTTGCAAAGACTTATCAAGTTGTTTCTCAATCCTGTGAGGATGTAATAAGTCCCACCAAGCCCTGGTTACACACACAGGCCTATATGAATGTAAATATAGCCAGGCATTAATTTGGCATATTAACTTATGCTTGTTTTTTTTTTTTTTTGCCCAGTACTTCCTGACACTTCAGACCATCCCCTAGTTTTAGCAGTGGCTAGGGAGTTCTATCGGAGAAGGCAATGGCAATCCACTCCAGTACTCTTGCCTGGAGAATCCCATGGATGGAGGAGCCTGGTAGGCTTCAGTCCATGGGGTTGCTAGGAGTCGGACATGACTGAGCGACTTCACTTTCACTTTTCACTTTCATGCATTGGAGAAGGAAATGGCAACCCACTCCAGTATTCTTGCCTGGAGAATCCCAGGGACAGCGGAGCCTGGTGGGCTGCTATCTATGGGGTCACACAGAGTCGGACACGACTGACGTGACTTAGCAGCAGCAGCAGGGAGTTCTATGCTGACTGCCTCAGAGAAAGGACAGTCTTAGCAGAACACAGGCGTCAATTCTTAGCTTATGACTTTTAAAAGTCAAGACCCAGATCAGAGGCGATAAGAAACAGCAGAGTTTCACCACTTCTCCCCTAGTACTTTCATGGGACATGAATGAGGGAAGGTGAAGTTTAGGAGAACCGGGGAAGCTTAGATGTTAACACAGGGTTTCCTAGATAAGGTTGCTCTGTACCTCTCAGAGATTTGAGGGATCTGAGAGCATAGGAAACCCATGCTTCACTTCTTGGGTAAAGAAGTGAAGGGCAAGCAGCAGGAAACGAGTGTTCTCTAAGCCTTATGTGGTACGGAAAAAGTGAGAATATTTCCCAGGAGGACAAAAGTCTTGATGACAGAAAAGGAAGGTTTGATTAGTCTTCAGGTTTCACCCTTTAATCTGTCAACCTCAAGCTGCTGCAAGTTTTAGTTCTAGAATTTCCATTTTGTTCTTTTTTTTATAGTTTCCATTTCATAGTTTCCCCTCATAATTTCCCTTAATGTTGTGAATGAGTCTTGAAGTTAGTTTCTACTCACTTGACTTTTTTTTTTTTTGACCCTTTAGTTGACTTTTTGCTACCATGTTTATGACTTCCTGGTAATGGTAGCATCAGAACTGAGCTGGCAATGATACTAGCTAACAGACACCAAGAGTCTATGTCAAAGCAGTCACTTCAGTGGGGCAGGGCACCATGTCATTAGAAATGCTGCCTAATGTGTGATGATTTCCAATTTTCAAATAAGAAGGACAACCTTCTTGATCAGTTTCAAGAAACTGAAAAGACCTTCCCATTCATTAAGGAACAGAATGGGAAGAGAATTGAAAACATTAGCATTTAACTTCCTGCCTTCCACCAAGTAGTAAAAAGTCCTCCAATAATTAATTTTTTCCTAAATAAAAAGCAGCTTCCTTGCATTTCCTGATATAAAGGTAATACATAGATAAATTCACCAAGACAGAAAGGCATAAAGAAAAAAGTACTACCCAGAGAAATTACCATTAATATTTTGCTGAACATCCTTCTAGATGCTGCTCTGTGCAAATAATTATGCATATAATTTTATATGAATGGAATGATTTACATGCTTTTAACTCCACATTATCAGTAAAGACAGATACACATCATCCTTTCTAATGATTTTTTATTGTGTTGCATAGGTGTATCAAAATCTATTAGACCAGTTCTCAATGGTAGGACATTTGGATTCTTGCAACGAGAACAGTATTTCTGCTTTCTCTGTATATCTGTATATATTTCTCTGTAACATCATTGTGTACTTTGAGATTCCATCTACTGGAAGTAGTACATTATTTCTATAACATTATTTCTGGGCTGAAGCATACACAATGGACTTAATGCCTTGTACCAATGGGGCAGTGTGGTGACTTTGTATTGTGGCAACTCAGCTAAACAGGATCTGTTTTCTAGAATCCTGCATGGTTTTAGTGTTGCATGAGCTCTGGAAGACAACAGTGAAGTAGCGGCCACAGTTTTCACGCTCTGAAGGACAGCGCAGAGCTCCAGGCATCGTGGTAACTCTAGCACATTGTAGCTGATCTGTTGGCTCTCCTTGCTGGCATGAGGCAGCACCCAGACCTCAGCTCCTACGAGATCTTCAGCTTCACCAGGTCATAAGCCAAGTGCTTGCACAGTTCCATGAAAGGTACCAGCTTCTCCTGCAGCACCTCTCCATTATCAAAGTTTTGAGTAGTGAGACACATACTCAGATCTAGTCTGCCTTTGAAGACTACAGCTGTTCATGAATTCCACTTTGTCCCTTCCAGTTCTAAGTCTGTTCTTGCTCCAAGTCACACCCAACTTTCTATCCTGGCTGCCTCTGGCTGATCTGCAGTGACTTCATTCTCAACCCTAGAACCAGAGAGAGCAAATGACCTTGCATAGACTCCTCTACCTTCTCCCACCACCATGCAAGGTCTAAGGCAACCCTGTCCAATAGAACTTCTATGATGATGTGGTTCTGTTTCTCTTGTTGAACCCTGCTGACCACTGGGGAAAAGCATGGAGACAGAAAGTCAGCATGCTAGGAATCACAGCCCTGGAGAAAAGAGACCTGGAGCCACACCAGCCCACCACTACTCACATTATTATATGAGAAAAACATACCCCTGTGAGCTTGCTCTGTTGGGATTCCCATCCCCAATCCAATCCACTGTTAAGAGCCCCCATCCCCCAAGCCAGAATCATCAAAGTGAGCTATAATAGTCATAGAGAACAAGCTGGCTGCAGGAAGGGGTGGGTGATCTTCAACAGGCAATCTTTCCTTTACTCCCACAGGATGACTTCCCAGCCCTGTCCAACCCACCCCACCCCCGACCCCACCAGTTCCCTAGGCAGATCCATCCTCCTCCCAGGCCTCCTCCCTTCCCCAAGTGCCTATGACCCTCCTTATAGAATGTAATTACCCATGCGGGCTTCCCTGGTGGCTCCGAAGGTAAAGAATCCGTCTGCAATGCAGGAGACCTGGGTTGGGAAGATTCCCCTGGAGGAGGACACGGCAACCCACTCCAGTATTCCTGCCTGGAGAATCATCACGGACAGAAAAGCCTGGTGGGCTACAGTTCATGGGGTGGCAGACAGTCGGACAGGACTGAGTGACTAAGCACAGCACATGTTGGCTGTCAAACTGATGTTTGTTGTAAACATCAGCTCTTTTTCATGACTGCATATATGACAGGAGGCAGTAAGAAACTACCAAACCATATTTGTCAGCTCCAGTCTCGGAAACTGTCACCAACCAATAAACGTTTCCAGGCACGGGTCTTTCCGTAGGACTCCTGAACGGTTAACTAAACATGGGGGGTGGGGGGGAATGTATGGCTGAACAACATTTCTCTTTCGCAGCTGAGCTTGGGTAGAGAACAATGGGCGGTGGTTTCAAGCTGTACCCACAAACACAATTCTACACAATTACAAAGAAATTAAAAAAAAAGGTTGCTTAAACAAGTGGTTATCCGTTACCGTGTTGACATAGAAAAAGGAGAAATGCTGGGAACTGAATCAAAGCGACGGTGCAACAGACAGCTTGGCGTGGCATGCATGGCTTGGTTGCTTGAATGCGCGGGCTTGCTTCTCACTTCCTCCTAATTTTGGCCCCGCCTTCCTGATGTGTCTTCCTGAGAATGTTAAAAACAAACAACAACCAAACACATTGGTCTTACTGCAAGCCGTCTTTAGTGTCTGTTGCTCCCCTCTTTTCCACGTCTCACGGTACTGGGTCCTCCCAGCTTCTCTCTTGCTTGCTGAGCCGCGTTGCCTTCGGTGAATACTGTGCGGACACAGTAGCCCACACTGTGCCCCGCACTCCCTCCAAGCCCTCGGCCGGGGCTAAAGGCGTCCCAGCGGTGGTCAGCCAGCCTCTGGGCATCAGGCAGCCGCCTGAGCTAGGGACCAGGGCCGCTGCTCGCACCGGCCACCCACGCCTCTCGCCCGGCCGGTCCCCGCCCCCGCGCGCCCGGAGAGACTCGTCGTGTGACGCGTCCACCTCCCGGCAGCCCGCCGGCTCTCGCCCCTGGACGGCCGCCACCCCGGGAGACGCGGAGGCGGCGGCGGCTGGTCCCCGGAGGAGCCTGGAGCACCGTAGGATGCGGCAGCCGCTCGGCCTCTCCCGGAGCCGCAGGACACCCGGGCCGAGCCCGCCCTCGGTGAGCGCCGGGGACCGGCAGGGGGCTCTGGATTTGGGTCCCTCCCCTTCGCTCAGAGTCTCGCAGCACTCGGGCTCTCAGACCCCACCTCCTGCCAGGTGCGCGCCGGCGGGAGAGGAGGACGCCTCTCTCCTCCCGGCACCCCACCATGGGCAATACTTCTAACGACTCCCAGTCCGAGAACCGCGAAGAGCCACGGTGGCTCCCCCCGGGCGAAAGCCCGGCCATCAGCTCCGCGATGTTCGCGGCCGGGGTGCTGGGGAACCTCATTGCGCTGGCGCTCCTGGTGCGCCGCTGGCGGGGGGACTCGGGGCGCAGCGCGGGCCGCGGGAACTCCATCTCGCTGTTCCACGTGCTGGTGACAGAGCTGGTGCTCACCGACCTGCTTGGGACCTGCCTCATCAGCCCCGTGGTGCTGGCTTCGTATGCGCAGAACCGGACTCTGGTGGCCCTGGGGCCAGACAGGAGCGTGTGCATCTACTTTGCCTTCTCCATGACCTTCTTCAGCCTGGCCACGATGCTCATGCTCTTCGCCATGGCCCTGGAGCGCTACCTAGCCATCGGACACCCCTACTTCTACCAGCGCCGGGTCACCCGCCGCAGTGGCCTGGCTGTGCTGCCCACTATCTACATAGTCTCCCTGCTGTTTTGCTCCCTGCCGCTGCTGGAACATTGGAAGTATGCCCAGTACAGCCCAGGGACGTGGTGCTTCATCGGACACAAGCAGACCATGTACCTGCGGCTTTACGCTACTCTGCTGCTGTCGCTCATCATCGCCGTGCTCGCCTGCAACTTTAGTGTCATCGTCAACCTCATCCACATGCACCGCCGCGGCAGGAGAAGCCGCTGCGGACCCTCCTTGGGCAGCAGCCACAGGAGGGCAGAAAGGGTATCCGTGGCGGAGGAGACGGACCATCTTATTCTCCTGGCTATCATGACCATCACCTTCGCCGTCTGCTCCTTGCCTTTCACAGTAAGTCACTCACTTGGTTTCTACAGCCGAGCTCCGTGCAGCCTTCTTGCACTCTCTCCTCTTACTCCCACCCTTTCCACCACCACGCAGATTCCCACAACTTGTAAAAATATGACCTAATATGTAGAAGTCTATCGCCTTCCCTTCCCAAGTCTCACCTTTACTCCACTTCCTGCTTCCCTAATCCCAGCAAATGGGCATCTCTATGCTAGTGTTTCTCATACAGCGACACAGCACCCCTGAAACGGAGTCTTGGCCCTCCACTAAGCCAGCCTAGACCCCATCCTAGAGCCAGTTCCGGTCTACAAGGCTAGAATGGCTTCCTGTCTGAGGAAGAAGCAGTCCCTTCCACCTTGGGATAGTTGTCAGTTGCAATCTGACTTCCCTGAGCTGTAGTTCGCCTGGAGTCCTGTCCTCCACCCCACCCCAATCAGCTGGTGCCAGTTCTCCAGGCTCTGCCTTCTGTTTCTCTCAATGCAAAATATGATGCCCAACCAGTAGCATTCCAGTGGCCATTAAGAATGGTCCCAGGTGAGAAGGGTCCACATTGCAGAAATCCAGAGCGTTCATTGTCTTGTTCAACAAAACCTAGTTTACAGGCTTCCCAAGTTACCCGTATATTGGAAGTATAACTCTTGGTTGTCATTAAAATTCATAATATGTTCCTGATGATAAGTAGAGGAAAGACTGGTTGCTTGGAGGAACCCCTTGCCTAGGTTCTGGGCTGGGTGCTGTCCTGGTTGGAGGCAATACCAGCAGTTATTTCCATGATGCTGTAAGTTTGAACCTCCTAAAATGTAACATGGATAGCAGAGCCTGGGCTGTATCTGAGCAAATGCTGACCTCTTACAGAGAAAGGAGAACTCTGAGTTTTAGCATCTCCACTTCCTAATCTTCAGAAGCACATGATTGCTCCTACAGGGAATAAACAGTTGAGTCTTACCTGCCACAGTCTTGGTAAAAAGAAAGAGATGATACCTGTCACAAAACAGATATTTTGACTGTACCTTAAATGGGAAGTATCAAGTAATCTCTTAATAAGGACATTTATATAGACCATTAACTAATTTTATTTTATCCATAGATTATTGGTACTTGTAACTTTCATCTATATAGCACTTTAAATGTTATGAAATGCTACACTGTCCAGAATTAATTTATTTCTTGGAAGGCTTAGCTGACAATTCAAAAGTCAAGGCTATGGAATAGCATTCTGCTATTTCAGAATGCTTGGCATGGGTCTCTGGGGGGTGCTTTTCTCCATGTCCTTTTATTCTACTGGATGCACATGAAACTTGTGCTCAGAAACGGCCTACACCCAGTCACAGAAGGACAAATACTGTATGATGCCACTTATAGAAGGTACCTGAAGTAGTCAAACTCATAGAAACAGAAGATGAAACAGTGCATGCCAGGGGCTGGGGGAGGGGTAGGAGGAGCTGTCTGGTGGATGTAGAGTTTCAGGCATGTAGGATTGGGATGAGAGGTCTGGGGCATCTTTTGCACAACAGTGTGCATGTGGGTGGCAATATTTTATTATATACTTAGAAACTGTTGAGAGAGTGAATTTTATGTTATATGCTTTTTTGCCACAATAAAAAATTTATTAATTAATAATAGGAAAAGAAATGGCCTACACCAATCTCCCACCCAAGGCAGGAATCATTTCCACACATCCTAACCAGTGCTCTGGTGGACAAGGCAAAGGCCTCTGGTTGCCTCCAGAAATTCTCCTGTTCTTCTAAGAGAGCATGCACAGCCCAATATAAATACCCTGTGAACCACAAATGCCAGCCACAGAAAGAATTTCCAATTTTCTAAATTCAGTTCAGTTCAGCCGCTCAGTCGTGTCTGACTCTTTGCGACCCCATGGACTGCAGCACACCAGGCCTCCTTGTCTATCAGCAACTCCCAGAGTTTACTCAATCTCATGTCCATCGAGTCGGTGATGCCATTTGACCATCTCATCCTCTGTTGTCCCCTTCTCCTCCCACCTTCAATCTTTCCCAGCATCAGGGTCTTTTCCAACGAGTTATCTTTCTGCCATAAGGGTGGTGTCATCTGCATATCTGAGGTTATTGATATTTCTCCCAGCAATCTTGATTCCAGCTTGTGCTTCATCCAGTCCAGCGTGTCTCCAGTTTTCTAGTAACCACACAACAAAAAGTTAAAAAAAAAAAAAACAAGATTAATTATTAACTAAAATTTTTTATTTAACCCAACGTATCCAAACAGCATCAATGAAAAATGTAATCAATGTAAAATAATTATTAATGAACTATTCTAACTAATTTCGTGTGTTCCAGAAAATGAGAGCAATGTGCCCTCTCTCTGCCTCTTTCTTCCTTGGGATAATAGAACTTCCTTCTGTGGCCCTCAAAGTGGGCCACAGGTCTTCCCTGGTGGGCTACAATCCATGGGGCCACAAAGAGTCGACATGATTGGGCGACTAACACAACACACAAAAAGTGGGCCACACCATTGGCCCAATAAGGAGACCTCACAGCTGTGTACCCAGTGGGACTCCAGCCTGCTCAGCACTCCAGGAGTGAGGAAAGAGGGGTAGGAAATTGAGGAAACCCGAACTGCTGATGTCAACCATTGTCCCAAAGTATGGGCAAGTTACAATTACTGCTTCCTTTAAGAATGCCAGCCTAGGACTTCCGAAGCTTGGGAAGTGAAATTCAGAATGTAAAATGCTCAGTACACTGTAATTAAGTTCAGGTCATTATTACCACCATCAAAATTGCTAACATTTTTGAGTGCTAATTTTTACATATATTAATGCATTATCTTCACAACAATCTGTCATATAGGTAACATTTTTATTCCCATTCTACAAATGAGGCAAATAACTTACCGTGGGTCCCAAGCTAGTGAATACTGGAGCCAGGATTCAAAAGCAGGCAGTTTAAACACATAGCCTATGCTTTTAACCACAATACCATCAGAGAGAAAATACTTATTCAGGGGTAACATATGAGAAGATCGTGTGCTTGTGATTAATCACTCGTGTCTGATTCTGCAGCCTTTTGGATTACAGCCTGCCAGGCTACTCTGTCCATGAGATTTTTCAGGCAAGAATACTGGAGTGGGTTGCCATTTCCTCCTCCAGAGGATCTTCCCAACCCTGGGATCGAACCAGCATCTCCTGTGTCTTCTGGGTTGCAGACAGATTTTTTTGCCCACTAAGCCATCAGGGAAGCTCATGAGAAGATTAACCCAAGATTTACAAGAGAGTTGTGAGATGTTATAAATATCTTCGTCTCTTAATTTCACTTTGTCTCTTAATTTCAACTTTTAGCTGTAAAAATACAGTGGCAAAGACCTTTATCTCTGTAGCAGATCAAGGGGCCTGAGCTGGGACTGAGGGTGTAGTTTCTTTTTGTTTCTGCACAGACCTGTGCATTAAAAGGCTGAGTCTGAGATTTTAAAAGATTCGCTAGTGTAAATACTGGTCTAAATTAAGAAATAATCTGATTACTCCTCACATAAAGTTTTGTTGTTAAACATTTAAACATTTCTTAATTGATCTTTTAAAAAAGCATTATTTTGGCTATCCAATATAAAATCATGCATAGGACCAATAACATATTCCATACCGTTTTTGCATTAAAGGAATATTATATAAATTAATAAATTCCTCATATTAATCAGATGTTGTTATCATTTCACAGAGATAGCTAGAAACTTTCTTTCTTCCTTAAATGAGACAGGACACAGGAAACACATCAGACGTCCATTCTTGACTCAGATACTGTTTGTCTCTTAATTTCCAACTCATATTTAGCCACTTTCTCACTACTTTACTAATAACTGTTAATAGCCTCTGGTCATTTTAAACTATTTTCCTCATGCCATTAGGATAAAGTGCTAATGCATTTTATTTGGTTCTAAAATTTCAAGAGTGAACCCTTGACTCATTCTAAAAATTTCTTCATCTTTAGAATTCTTTAGGGCTATAACTTTTAGATAAATCTGATTAGTGGAAATCTGATCTTTCACATACAGAACAAACGCAAGTAAACAGTACTGGAATTTCCCTCATTCATTCCTGGTACTCTTTATGTAAAATTTAACATGAAGGGGGTTGTAAAGCTGATTTGAAATTTGTTGATTACATACTTGCACAGTATCACAATTCTAGTAGTAATGAAAGAGAAATTCAGATTTGCCTGGTGATATTTTGAGTTAATATGCATGCAATACTAGAAGGCCCTTTATCATTCAAACATCATCAGTGATGTATCTGGGGATTTTTTAAAAACTTTTTACTTTATACTGGAGATGATTAACAATTTTGTGATAGTTTCAGGTGTATAGTGAAATGATGCAGCCATACATATACATGTATCCATTCTCCTGTTTGGGGATTGTTAAAGAATTTTAATACACCTTACCTTTTAAAAGAAAGTTTTTCTACATGAGTATTTTCACTTGACACCTTTTCCTTCTCCATATGATATGAAATGGTGGTTATGAATACTGATATGATTACACTGAGTTTTAAAAACGTAGACAGCAAGAACTAGAGGCCATTTCCCTAAAGAGAAGTGATTGTGTTATGTCTACACTCTTGGTCAAGGTGATTGTCACTGCCTTCCATTTGGCTATGGAAAGCGTGGAGGAAAGAAAAGCCCCAAAGAAAGCCAAGAATTTCTTAGATAGCCATGGTTTTAAAATCTATAAACAGGAGCAGTAATACCCATAAATCTTTGTGACACATTTGGAAAGAAATCTCCTACAAACCCATAATCAGTCAGTGGTGAATTTCATGTGACACTTCACATCATAGGGTATTTATGCAGATGGTGCTAGAGTGTGTAGTGGCTAAGAAGGAAGTCTGGCCCTGCTTCTGTGGCTTCAAGGCTTCCCTGCTTACCCATGGTGTGATTTGGGTCAATGTAACTAATCTTCTAAGCCTTGATCTCCTCCTTGCAAAAATGGGACTAATAACACTTTTACAGATTTGTAGAAGGATAAAATATAACAAGACACAAATTGTTTAGCACCAGACCTGACACAAAAGTATTCAGTAAATATTAGCTACTTTCCCCGTAAGATTCAGTTTTCAAAAGAAATCATTGTATGTTAATAATCAGGAACTGAACTCTGGAAACTCCAAGTCATGTTTAATTGGCCAGGCCTCAGTAGGTCTTTTGTTGTTAAGTGTGATAAATGAATAATTTCAAACTATTTCAGGTATTGGGTAAGGGTCTAAAGCAGTGGGTCTCAACTTTGCACATTAGTATCACCTGTGTATGTGTTCATGCTTAGTTGTGTTTGATTCTTTGCCATCCTGTGGACTGTAGCTCTCCAGGTTCATCTGTCCATGGGGTTTTCCAGGCAAGAATACTGGAGTGGGTTGCCATTTTCTACTCCAGGGGATCTTCCTGACCCAGGGATTGATCCTGTATCTCTTATGTCTCCTGCACTGACAGGCAGATTCTTTGCCACTGAGCAACTGGGGAAGCCCTAGTATCTCCTGGGGGACATTAAAAGCCCTGACACCCAGGTTATAGCCCAGACTAATAAAATCAGAGTCTCTGAGGGAGGGAGCAAGCCATCAGAGTATTTTTATTTCTTTATTATTTTTTTCCATCAGAGTGTTTTTAATGATCCTCGGGTGATTTCAATGAGCAGCCAAATAAGGTTCTCATTTGCTCTAAAATTCTGAGTGTATTATGTAGTTGCATTAAAGGTAGGAAAGTAGCTGAAACAAACAGTGCCAGGTCAGTGCCAAGACGAAGTTTTACATGGAGGCTGCGGGGATTCAATGGAAGACAAATCTAAAGGATACTAACTTTCATTGGTGCTGCTTTGCGGGTATCACAACAAGCTCTGTCCTAAGGAATTAAAACTCACTTGACTGGTTTACATTTGTCCTTGATATTTTTCTCATAGCAAATTTATTAGTAGCATGTGCAAAAACATGTATATAGTCTACCAGACTCTGAAACTGAATTCCAGAATATAACTGAAATATTATTAATTAATTGACCTATATCCATTGTGTCAGCCTTTAATTAAATTCCAGGATTGGCTGAAGGGAGAGGGGAATGAGGAGTTAGTGTTTGATGGGTATAGAGGTGGCTCAGTGGGTAAAAGAATCTACCTGCAACGTGGGAGATGCAGGTTTGATCTCTGGGCTGGGAAGATTCCCTGGAAGAGGAAATAGCAGTCTGCTCCAGTATTCTTGCCTGGAAAATTCCATGGAGAGAGGAGCCTGGCGGGCTACAATCCATGGGGTTGAAAAGAGTCAGACACGACTGAAACGACTAAGCATGCACATACTGGCCACCTCCTAAAATGCAAATTTTAAGCATTTCTAAAAATTACTCAGTATAGTGGATGAAAAGGAAACAAAGTACAGAATTGCTTCACCCTCTGAAACCATTTTTCACTTCTCATTGGTCAGTCACACTCTAAAGAGACCAGGAACTATGGTCAGATCTTGCCACTGAAAACCTGACTCATCTTCACATGTGACCTTTGACACTGGAATGCTGAGCCTGCTCTACGTGGCCCGCTAGACAATCAGTGTTATAGTTTTTGGGTGAGATTAGGTCATAAACCCAGCTACAAACTTTTTCTATGACAGAACACTCAGTTGTATGCATGTGTAGTGACTAGTATATTTTAATCTATCAGGTTTATGTACAATATATCCTGAATTCCAAAACTCCAAAATGGCTCTTTGAGTGAGTGAAAGTTGTTCAGTTGTGTCCTACTCTTTGCGACCCCATAGACTGTAGCCCACCAGGCTTCTCTGTCCATGGGATTCTTCAGGCAAGGATACGGGAATAGGTTGCCATTTCCTTCTCCAGGGGATCTCCCTGACTCAGGCATCAAATCCAGGTCTCCTGCATTGTAGGCAGATTCTTTACTATCTGAGCCACCAGGGAAGCCCCCCCCCCCCCCCCCCCCTCTCTCTCTCTCTCTCTATATATATATATATATATATATATACTGAATTGTAACTGGATTCAAGACCTTATAGACAATTCTGTGCCATAATTAGATTCACAATTTTAAGAGTCACAATTTAAAGAGCAGTATTTAAATTGCTCTTTAAATATACCATATAAATACTGTAAATTTCTCATCTAAAATAATTTAGCTGACAAGAGAAGTATTGCTCCCTTGCATATCTCCACCTAACTTTTTTCTTCTCTCTATATTCAGGGACATCTACCTTCAGTTTTTTTTTTTTTTTTTCCCCTTTGCTCATCTGCCAACTCTCTTCTCCATTCCCTTAAGCCAAGATTCTCTGGCATAAACACCTATGGCTGCCAAACCTTCCTGATATTGTCCTAACATAAGCAAACCGAAGATGACTACTCTTTCCCTCCCTGCAATTTGCTTTGTATATGCAGTTGCCAGATGCCTGCAGAGTTAAGTACTAGGGGAATAGGAAAGAAACTATTCCTTCTTTTGGTGAGGGAGAGTGGAGGAAAGAAGGAATAGCTCTCTAACTCACCCGCTGCAGTTGGTAGGAGAGGCCCTGGAGCTCTATAAAGAACTGGCTTCAAACGACTGGGTTTGATTTACATGTTTCACTCTTTTCTGTAAGCTATGTGGAAGCGTTTGATCTTTATCAGGGATGTGCTGTTCCATTCTCTGAAATCAGATCAGAAAGTTGTTTGTTCCCTAAATACCTAAAGAATCAGATGAGAGCTGGTATACCACTTTGAGAACATTGGCCAACGTGTAATGATGTGTCAGCTGTCCAGTGTTTAAGACTCTTCTGAAGACCTTCAGCCTACATAGGCGACCTGGATGTAGCAAACAGTGAGCACTGCTCAGGTGTCAAGGGACTTGGAATTTGTGTCCTGTTGCTATACAGTCCCTCAGCCATGTCCGACTCTTTGTGACCCCATGGACTGCAGCACGCCAGGCTCCCCTGTCCTTCACCATCTCCCTGTGTTTGCTTAAACTCATGTCCATTGAGTCGATGATGCCATCCAATCATCTCATCCTTTGTCACCCCCTTCTCCTCCTGCCCTTAATCTTTCCCAGCATCAGGGTCTTTTCTAATGAGTCGGCTCTTCACATCAGGTGGCCAAATTATTGGATCTTCAGCATCAGTCCTTTCAATGGATATTCAGGGTTGATTTCCTTTAGGATTGACTTGCTTGATCTCCTTGCAGTCCAAGGGACTCTCAAGAGTCTTCTCCAACACGATAGTTCAAAAGCATCAATTCTTCAGCACTCAGCCTTCTTTATGGTCCAACTCTCACATCCATACATGACCACTGGAAAAACCATAGCCTTGACTAGATGGACCTTTGTCAACCTTTGTGTCCTGAGTTGTCCACTAACCAGCCCTGGGAACTTGGGCAAATCCCTTACTGCCTCTGCCCTATGGTGTCCTCGCTGGTAAAATGAAGATAATAAGGGCTATCGTTGTGGGGCAAGTTTTAAGGGGGCACTGTTTGCAGGAGCTGACACGGATGACTTCCTGTCATCTTCCCAACAATCCCAAGAATAGGTATTGTTATCATTGTCACTCATTTTAAAGATGTAGAAAGGGAGACACAGAGAGGTTAGTTTTCTTACCTGTGGTCCCAGAGCTATTTTAGGGGCCAGAATTCAAACCCAGGCAGCCCAGTGGCCAGAACATAAGCTCTGTTGTGTGCCCTCTCTCACTGAACTGTCATAATTCAGCATTTGAAAGTAAGTGCCATACATTGTTATTCCCTCACTTCCCCATCTATCAAAAGGAGACAACACTTCTATTTCAGAGTGTCCCTAAGGCACAAACTTGTGTGAGAGGGGTGAGATTTTGCAACTTCCCTCTAAGCACCACAACCACACACAAAACACGTTTTGCTTTTCAGCCTTAAGAAACTGCACATGGTCGAAGCCTGTCTACTGCTACAATAGAAAACTGACATCTTTCCCCCCTTTTGCTTCTTACAGATTTTTGCATATATGAATGAAAACTCTTCCCGGAAAGAAAAGTGGGACCTCCAGGCTCTTAGATTTTTATCAGTTAACTCGATAATTGACCCCTGGGTCTTTGCCATCCTGAGACCTCCTGTTCTGAGACTGCTGCGTTCAGCACTCTGCTGCAGGGATTCTTTAAGAACTCAAGAAACAACACAAGCTTCCTGCTCTTCACAGTCAAACGCCAGTAAACAGATTGACCTTTGAGGGCCGCAGTTAAGAAGTGCTAGTTAACCACCATCTGGAAGACCATTTTGAAACGGTTCCTTAGAGAAATGGAAAAAAGTTAGTTTATAAACACAATGCCCTTACCCTGATGAAACAGAGTAAACAAATATTTCAGGAGTGGTTTGGGCTACAGATGTGCTGACCAGGCACTTCTTGGAAGGTGTCAGAAGGATCTATAAAACCTGCCCTCAAGGAGCATGTTTATGGTCTTTGGAGGAACAACCAACTGTATTTATAATCCTGTGCCTTTTTGATTTAAGCTTTCCTGTTGAATGAGAAAGCATGTAGTTTTGTAATTTGTTTAAATCCCTAAATAGTTACTGTGTTTTCTATTTTAATCTTCTAGGCTAGTACCATTGTAAACATAACAATGTACAGTCTAGCCAGATAAAACTGATGTATTCTCTAGGAAGTGGATATGGGCAAGCAACCAAGCCTGGTGTCTTGTGATTGCTTATCAAGCCCTTTCTTTGGACAATGAGTTTGAAAATCCTGGGTACTTTGTACTGTATGTTTGCCTATGTGGGAGCATGCTCTTGTCACGATAGTATTACTCATAGAAGAGTAGGCTCAGGTGGTTAATGTCAGCTTTTTCACCATCCATGAGAAGATGTGAGTCAGAGTGTCAGGTTATTTATTTTATAACATCTGTCGAGCTAATGGCAACTAAAAGGACTTAAGGAATTTTTCTCTGAGCGATAAATAGTAGACTATTAAGAGAAGTAATTCTCATGAATATTCTACTTTTTATTTTCAGGGGAGGGTGTATGTGGCTATGTCTGAGGCAAATATTAGAATTAAAAACTGAAAAATCTGGTCAGTTCTTCAGTTACACTGAACTCTTTTAATGCTGATGTTGAGGCTGTGATTAACATACTTTATAGGATGATTGTGTTGTAGCAAAATTCATCTGTCTGTATGTTTATCTGGGAAACATGGCTTGACTCATGCTGTATAGGAAATCATACAGTGAGTCATATCTTAATATATTTCTAAATCTAAATGTTTGGCATTGTATAAACTCAGCATCAAAATATTTCAGTGAATTTACACTGTTTAATCATATCTTAGTTATAGTATAAACTCATCTGAAATGTTACAAAAATAAGCTATAAAACAAAAAATTTGAAAATGGAGTAGTATGTGATGAATTCCCCCCAAATAGCAATTTATAGTTTGTATGGATATACTAATTTTAAAAATTAGATAAAAGTGGACTTTTTAAACTTAATTTAGCAGATTTTTAAAGTGGGGTTGCATTGCAAATTAGAGTTTGAAATATTCAATACAATACTTGATATTAGAGGGAAATTTTTCCCCTTATAGCATGATCTTCAATATAGTGGACACTTTATTTATTATTTTATTTTTTGCAGTGAGTGTTATTACAACATAGCTGTAATAAAAACCAAAAAAGAATATTAGTTTTTTCAAAGTCTCATTGAATTGCTTACACAAAACTATTTCCTATAAGTAGTTATCAGACTAGATGGTCACTTAAGAGTGATTCCAAACCAATTTAGAAATCAGTGTATTAGGACAGAATCTATATCAAATTATCCCTTATTTTAAAAAGAATAAATGAATGGTTTGCTTTTGTACTAATTTAAACAAACCAGGCTAAGTTTAACTTAGCTAAAATCTGGATGTGTAAATAAAGCTTCCCTGTCCACCAAGATAAGAAATTGTTCTAAATAAGACTAATTAGGCTCATGGGTAATTCTTGAACATAAAATGCTAAAGTTACTCTGGATCTGGAAGATTAATTTCTTTTATCAGATGACTTTTCTTCCTCCAAATAAAAATGTTACCTACAATCATTCACCCTACCTCATCATCCTCCCAAATTTTCAAATAATGCCTGAGAAATTTAAAAAGACAAAAAAAGCACAAACTTGTACATAATATCACTAGTGGAAACAAAATTATTCACTCTGTGGTCCCAAAATATGAGTTTAAGCCATTTAAGAACTAATAGATTTCCAGAGCTTTGTTTCCTAGTATATTCCTGTTCCTTGCACTGTGTTAAATGACTAAATCCTGAAATTTTATTTGCACTGATATTTACATAGAAGGAATTGAAAGTTAAAATCCTATGTAGTAGTAAATTACTTACTATTATTGGAAATTTCAAGGTAATAGAAAAATTATTTATATTGGACAAGTAAATATTTCCTTTTTAAAAATCACATCACATCAGACATACCTGTTTAAGTTTGCTGACTCATTTTCAAGTTAAATAAAAAACACAGAAGTTAGTCTGGTATATCAGAAAACTGAATTATAATAAAGGAAGACCTAGATTTTATTCTTTGTCCTCGACCATCAGTGGAATGAAAAGAGAGAAAAACTATAGTGGATATTCAACTCAGTATGCCGCAACTGAGACCTGGCCCCACTAAATAAATAAATAAATAAATAAATAACTGTCTTAAAAAAAAACAACAGGATAAATGTTCATGTATAGCTGATTCCCTTTGCTGTATGCAGAAACTAACACGATACTGGAAAGCAACTCTACCTAACTTTAGGTGTCCAGAAATGGGATGGGCTGAAGCAGTTCTGTTCTGAGCTGAATTGTTACTGGGTGGCTCTCTGTGGGGCTTCCCAGGTGGCCCTGGGGATAAAGAACCTGCCTGCCAATGCAGGAGATGGGGATTCAATCCCCTGGGTCAGGAAGATCCCCTGGAGGAGGACATGGCAACCCACTCCAGTATTCTTGCCTGGAGAATCCCATGGACAGAGGAGCATCCCCGGCTACAGTCCATAGGGCCACAGAGTCGTACACATCTGAAATAACTTGGCATACACGCACGCATGCACGATTCACTGTGGCCTTAGATCATCTTTTCCAAGAGAAAACTGGGAAATTCTGGTACTAAATTGTACCTTGAGTTTCCTAAGATCCTAATAAGGCCCGTGTTTTCTCAGACACTATAGAAAGACCTGACTCTCAAAGTGGTCTGGACCCATGACAACCCAGAGCCAGAAAGAGCAGCAACCTCTACCCGCCATACTGGCAGAGATGACAAGTCCTGGGCAGGTGGAGGGCAAATCCGAGCCTCCTCACTACATTCTCAGTGTGATTCAGTTCAGCTCTTGGTGCCCTGGCCGGCTCTCAGCAGTGCACTTTCAGAGACAGATCGCCCTCGTGCTAATGTAGTGTCAGCTCTGCTTTGAACCAAGAAAAAATTAACATCTTCGAGTTCAGAATTTGATGACTTTGAAAGGCAGGGGAAGACCATTAATTCACATTTAAGTAGAGGTTTGTTTACTTCCCTTGGTTTAGTTGCTCAATCATGTCTGACTCTTTGGGACCCCATGGACTGTAGCCTGCCGGGCTCCTCTGTCCATGGGGTTCTCCAGGCAAGAATACTGGAGTGGGTTGCCATTTCCTTCTCCGTTACTTCCCTTAGTCAAATCTAATATTTTAAGCCAAAAATAATGGTTTTCTGAATTTGAGAAGAGCCCCTACTTGAATCATTCACAGAGAAACAGTCTTTGCATAAATTTATTATGCATTGGCTTGCCATGCCTGCTCAGGATGGCCATCTTCTGCCTTTATCAGACACGACTCCATTGGAATTCCTCTTTGATTGCACGTTTAAAACATACCTATAATCATTATACTAACAGCATTATCATTGACTTTCTTTTTAAATTTACAAAGCATTTGATCACCTGAAATACACACTATGGAAATAAATGTCATTTTAGCAATTCATAGAAGCAATTCACACTAGCTAAAGTCTAGTGTATACATGGAACAAGGCCATGTATTGGGCATTAATTTTTATTTCAGAAAGTTACTTTTTTTCTGGTCACTTTTGTGATTTTTATTTGTAAGTAAATTTTCTTGAATTATATTTTTGCATTTCCTTAAAATGTATGTACTATTAAAAGTTGATTTGGGTGGTTTAACTCTGTGATCTGGGTGTTTCATTTTTCTTTTAAATATGCCAAATCAAACAGATCAAATGATCATTCCAACAGAAACAGCTGGCACATTCAAAAGAGTAACTGAGGACTATTGATGAAGGAAATATTTACAGAGGGAAGGGCAGGGTTGAAGGAATCAACAAAGATGGTGGAGAAGCCCTTGGAAGCTGTTACCACTCCCAGGGCTGCAGGGACAGGGAGGAGTCGTGAAAGCTGTGTCCCGCCCACCAGAAGCTGTGCTTGCTTCGGCAGGGAAGCACAGCTGCGGCTGAACCACCTGGAGGGAGGCGGGGAGAGGAGCAAGGGGGCCACCTTCCTGGAAGATCTTCCTGCTCTTCTGCCTGTCCCTCCCGCTAGCCAAACCCAAGTGTAACCCAGAGAGGAAAAATCGTGAAGACCCCAGTGCAGGTGGAGGGCAGGCTCGGGGGGCAGAGGGAGAATATCCAGCATAAGGAGATTAAAAATACATTCTCCAAAAAATTACACCAACAGTTCTGGGGTAACCAAAATGGGAAAGAAACCCAAAAAAGAGGGACTATTTGGGAACTTCTCTGGTGGTGCAGGGACTAAGACTGCACTCCCAGTGCAGGGGGCCCGGGTTCGGTCCCTGGTCGGAGAAGTAGGTCCCACATGCCGCAACTAAGAGTTCACATTCTGCAACGAAAAGACCCCCTGTGCGGCAACTGAGGCCTGGCCCAGCTACATAAATAAATAACTGTCTTTAAAAAAAAGCCAGGATAAATGCGCATGAATAGCTGATTCTCTTTACTGTACAGCAGAAACCAACATGAGACTGTAAAGCAACTCTACTTCAATAAAAATTACTAAAAAAGAAAATACAATTACACCAACACAAAAACTGAAACCACAACATGGGCAGCCTTTCTTCCTGCCTTCTACCCCAAATAGATATCCTCCAGCAAGCTTGGGGAAGAGGCATCAGCCCCAAGTGTGTGGAGAGGGGTAAAATACTGTAGATTTCCCCACCCAAATCCTTGTCCCAGGCCCTGCTCCCCTGAGGCTCAGCGTTTACAAGTATCCAACCCTGAAGGAGATCAGGTTGAAGCTTTGTTCTGCTTTCCCCACCCACAGCAATACAGCCGCTCTTCCTAAGCAGAACAAAGGGTAATAGTCACACATATTGGCCTAGAAAGGGACTGAAGCTTGCTCTTAAGAAAGACCAGCGGTGGAGGGGGTGAGAAAAATCTAGAAAAATACCAGCAGTTAGTGCTGAAGGTTGGCCATATCCCCAAACCTAACGTAAGCTGGGATGTGTCTACACAGCTGTTGTAGAGAAAGAGTATGTATAACAATTCAGCAAGTCTGCATAGTTTAAAATGCTAGTAAAAATATTTCAAAAAAAACAAATGTCAACAAAATGGAAAAAAACTGGACAAAGCATGGCTCCCAAGGCCATCTGTCCATGTTGCCCTTTCTGTTATCACAGGATTGTCTTTATTCTGTCTTTACTCTCCTCCCTCCATCCCCTTCTGGAGCTTGCTTTTTCTAGCAGACTGTTCCCTTTCCCCCTTCCACTGGGTCCTGTCATCTTTGATGCACACGTTCAAACCTTCCCCTTTCAGCAAACTTTAGATTTATCTGGGGCATATTAAACATGTATCAGACTACTGGTGGTTTTCTCAGACAAGTAACTCAACCTTTTGTGATTCTCAGTTTCCTCATCTATTAAATAAAGATAATAAAATTATTGTTGTTGTTTAGTTGCAAAGTCATATCTGACTCTTTTGTGATCCCATGAACTGTGGTCTGCCAGTCCATGGGATTTTCCCTGGCAAGAATACTGGAGTGGATTGTCATTTCCTTCTCCAGGGGATCTTCCTGACCAGGGGATCAAACCCTAGTTCTCTGTGCATCTCCTGCATTGCAGGAGGATACTTTTTACCACTGAGCCACTGGGGAAGCCGAATTAAGATATCCATCTCTGTAATTATTGTAATTATTTTGAGGATTAAATGAGTAAGGTCACCAGGACATTCAGCGCAGTGCAATGAGGTTAGGGATTAGCATCTTCGCAGATGCTTCGTTGAATGTCCCCTCTGACCTCTTCACATGCATCTGACTTAGATTGCTCATTCTTGGCCGGTCACAGTATCTGTTTATTAACTCTGGGCCGCTGTCAAGAATGAAGATGGTAATATGTATGCAGGACGAGTTTGTATTTCAGAAAATACAATAACAACTGGTGCACATGGACAATGTAGAGGAATGAGTGAGCATAAAAGAGACCAAGAGAGACAGAAAGACAGCGGGACAGAAAACATGGCCCCTGTCCCCTCAATGCACCCAAGGAAGGGAGCGAGAGGGGACAGCACCTGAAACATTATTCAAACAGGGTATGTTGAGTGCTGGGAGACACAACTCGGTCCCAAAACTGAAACTGAGCAGATTTCATTTACACATCACGTTCTCAAGATCCCCAAACCCAGCCCTGGACCACAGCTGACCTTTCACGTTCCTGAAACCGGCGCCCAAGACTTCTCTAGGCCAAACATTTCTGCTTTCTTCGACTCTCCCTTACATTACAACTCACCATTTTGGTGCCCTTCTCCTAATATCCAAGTTACCAATGTCCCTCTTAATGTGTTGGGTCAGAACCAAACACCAAGAAATAATTCTAAACCAGTCTTACCAGCATGGAGTGCTATGTCAGTTGCTGGCTCGATCTGGACATTATCTTTCCATTAATGCAAACTGAGATTACAAAGCTTTGTGAGCAACTGGGTCATACCTTTATATCCTTCAACAAACGAAAGAAGGACTGGTTTTCTACTTTCCAGAGAGGAAAAGTGGGTATGCAGGAGGGAAGTGAGCTGCTTACTAAGGACATCCTTGTTAGATACCCTTACGATTGTGATTATGGCACTGATCTTGCTGCCTGAAACCATAGAGTCCTTGGTTTCTCATTAGTCAGTGGCCTATGGTTCTTGGGTTGGCTCTGTAGACTAGGGATGGAGAGCTTTGAACTTACCAGTTGAGCTTGGTCTTTTGTGTTAACAATGTGGCCCTTGTAGAACTAAAACTGCCGGTGCTGCCCAAAGAATAATTTTTTCCTTGAAAATGGAATTCACACTTTTAGTTCTCAAAAGCCATTTTTGCTAGAATTAACTGGTCAATACTCATCTCAGTTCTAAGATTCAGTCCTCACCTTCATCTCAGTGCCTGATATGTCATGATAAATTAAACATTTAAAAATTCAAAAGCTGCACAAGTAAACCTTTAAAGACATAGTTGAGATTATCTTTCAGCTCTTAAAAACCTCAACATGTCCACATTGTAAAGGACTCAGAGGAACAAGCCAAAAAGCCCTAGATTTTGAAAACCCAACATTAAATTTTTATGCTTTTAAAAATAAATGTCCTCATGTTACTTGTAAAATGAAAGACACAATAACCAAAACACGCCAGGCTGAGTACTGTGGTGTACTGCTCTTTGACCTGTAAAAACGAATCCTCCTGGTGTGAGTAGGCATTCTGATAAAAGGAGAGCTTAACTGTAAACTAGAGAACCTCATTCTATTTACTACCTATTATGGTGACTGGGGAGTCAGAGGCCCATTTCTGACAGGAAACACGCAGATGTTCACATCTTCCTGTGAAACACCAGTTTGGAAAACTAAGGAAGGTGGGGAGAATCAGATTTCTGTCTTCCTTCTACAAATTTCTTCTGTGTTCTCGATTAAGTTATAGGGAACCAC